ACAAGCTTCATGTAATATTCCCAGCTTCAGGTTTAATTTAGTGTAAAATCATATCATACATTACATCAATTTGTTGAAAATGACATCACAGTTCTATTAAAGTCAGTTATAGGAGCCCTTCCCACCTTTGTGATGTCCTGCTTCAAATTACCCCTGGCTATCTGTAAAGAAATATGCAGGCATTCTGCCTCCTTCTGGTGGGGCTCCAAAGCTCATGGAGGAAGTCGAATCCACTGGGCATCATGGAGCAAACTCACACTGCTCAAGGAAGCCAGTGGAATGGGTTTTAAATGCTTATCATCCTTCAACGAAGCACTCATCATAAAATAGCTTTGGAGGATAATTCAAAAACCAGCCCTCTTGATGAGCAAGATTCTCAAAGGAAATACTTCCCAAATTCATCTCTGTGGAAAGCGCATCATAAAAGTTCCAACTCGTGGCTATGGAGCACCTGGCTAAAAATCATACCGCACCTGAAAAAGAGAGTCATCATGTCAATTGGGGATGGCTAAAACACCGACATATGGAGCGACCCCTGGATAGCAGAACTTCAAAAGCTCTCTCCATCTCTGGTATTTAATTCAGATTGCCTAAAGCTTAAAAAAGTCTGCAAATGGTATTGCTTGGGATAAAGACCTTATCGAGCAATCTTTCAAGCCCGAAGAAGCCCAAATGACTCTGGACATTCCTCTCAAACCAGGTCAGCAAGATACCATGATTTGGACTCCTCAGAAGCAAGGCAAAATTCTCGGTCAAGTCGGCCTACGGGTCTATCCTCTCAGAAAAGACGGCGAAATCAGTCTCCACTGAGTGGAGCAATCACAATCTGATAATGTCGAAAGTATGGAAAACCACCTGGGCACTCAAGATAAAGAAGAAGATACAAGTCTTCCTCTAGAAATGTTGGTTTCGTTACTTAGGAACTCAAGATCAATTAATCAAAAGAGGCTTAAGTGTCGACCCAATCTGCAGCGTATGTGGGTCCTCGAATTAATCCATTGATCATATATTACTCTCTTGTCCTCGCGCTGTGACTGTCTGGAAACTGGCAGGACTACATTGGGAAGGTATGCAACAATCTAATTCTTCTTTTCGAAATTGGTGGTCTGATATTTGCACAATGAGGAAAGGTCAGACCTTTGCTGATCGTATCCATTATTCCTCGTATATTCTCTGGTGGCTGTAGAAATCTCAAAATATTTGGATATCAACAACACATGGAAATCTGAAATAGATATTGCTCAGGGTGCCTGGAAGGAATGGACAGAATTTGAAGAAGTTAATCACCTGCGGGTTTAATCTAGTATTGTTGTTGTTTCTAATATTATTGCTATTTCTATTGATGCTTTCTTGGCTTTTGTGGATAGCTGACACAAGTGGAAGTTTGGCTAGGGAACCCAGTGTTCAGTGGCAGGACTTCTATCTACTCTTACAACTCTGCATGGCTATCTCTTTTGTGCTTGTCTATTAGTTGGTGTAAATTGTAGTCTTTATTTCTTCCTCTTAGTTTGCTGTTTTTTCTTCTCTGTGGGATCATTTCCCTTGTAACTTAGCTTCAGTTTGGATGCTAAGGTTTGTGTCTGTGGACTTGTCGATTGTAAATATTTTTCCCGAGCTGGGCATTAATATTAATTATCGTTTCGAAAAAATAAAATCTATCTATTGAGGTGGGCCTCAATCTCGGACCAATTCAGATTTGAGCTTTTGTTGAAAACGACATCACTTATTCTATCTATTTAGGTGGGCCTCAATCTTGGCCCAATTCGGATAGCTCAAATCTTCATGGCTCACCTTCTCGTCCCAAACACAAGGAGCACATGTAACCTATCCCACATTGAAAACACAAANCTATTTAAACTACAACTTTAACTTTGGTAGCTAAAATTCTACGAATTAACTGCTGGGCCGCGTGAACCATTTTCGAATCACAGTTATAGGTTTTCAATCGATTTAACCGATCGTTTTTTGCCCCAATGGTTATGTACCTCAAATCGGACCTGTGTGCTGACCGATTTTCGACTGAACTGGTTGAACTAGTCGGTCCTGTCCAGTTTTATGAACCACGGTTAAAACAATAAGTCTCAAATTTAAGATAAAATGACACTGTTAGAAAAAATTTGCTGACATTTTTTCTTGATGGGTGTTCAATTTATTCCCAATTGTTTCTAAGTTTATTTTTTAGTCTCAAAATTTTGCTTCTGTTTACACCAAAGCTGCTATTGAGAAGGTCATTCATGATTTTATTACTTTGAATGATATCCACTAATGACCTCCCCGTTTCAAATCGAGGTGAACTTTCCAATTGGTTCCTCCAATGATATTTTAGATGCGTTTTTTGATTGGATTCATTGTTGGCATTATGCATATTTTCCAAGGCTAGCCCGAAACTTGGATTCGACTTTGCCAACCCTTTTTTTTTTTCAAACGATATTAAAATTCCTCATACCAAGAAATAAAAGTACACATCAGAGAGCTAACTAGCTCTTACAGCCCAAAATAAACAGGAGAAGCACCCCAACGGTAGCCTAAATACACAAATATCCCAAGTACTAAAGGCATAAACCAAATTAAGAGCCCTTTAGCACTAAATACACTCCTAATGCAACCAATACAACAAATAACTGAAAACACACCCAACATAATGCAAACGACAAGACAAATCAAAGCCACTGAACATAAAGACCTAGCTTCGACCAAGATAATAGAAAACACTACTAATAAAAACATAATACTACTAAGCACCCAACATACAGAATTCCGACCATTCTCTCTGCGTAACCTGGACAATGGTTGCCTCCGACATCCAAACATTTTGAAAAATCCACAAGTTACGTGACTTCCACAGCCACCAAAGTATGTACATGGAAAGTTGAATGCGGGCTTCTGAGGTTGGAGAGTGGTTCATCTCAACAATCTTCCACCACCATACGTCTTTTCAAAAGTTGAAATTAGGTTCTTGCTGCACATGAGTATTTCAAGAAATCAGTAAATTTAAAGACATACGACACATTATTATTATTTTTTTTTCCAATAAAGAAATTTGAGACTTATGGTTATAACATATAAAATTTACATAAACATTTTGGCTGGACATGTCAGCTCGAAAAAGAGTTTAGAGACGATTTTGCAAGATATAATGAAAGTAGAGTATATAGTTGCAACATTAAAAATGTTGAGTTATTTGCAATTCCACAAAATGTCACGATTTTATGTGCAATTAGGCCTTGCAATAATGTATTTTTTGCAGTTTTTAGTGATTACGACTAATTAATTAAAAAATATTATATAATTATTATTATAATTGTGTAGAATTTTAAGAGGTTTGATTATTTCACAAAAATAATGAACTAATTTCAATAAAAAATCGTAATGAGCTGGAAAAGAAAATTTAAAACAAATATTTTAAAAATATATATTTATATATATAAATTTCATATATCATTTAGTGTAACTTTATAATTAATTAGTAGTAGCTATTATGTAATAAAATAAATAAAAATAAAAATATTTGATTAATGCAAAACGTAAAAAGAAAATTATAAAATTAGTTGAAAAAATTACTGGGAAAAATTGCTATTGCATTAAATTCTTAGCCTATAATTATATATATATATATACATATATATACATGAAAAATGATGATATAAAGGATAGTAATTACAGTTATTTGTGATATAATAAAAATAATAAAATAGTCTATACATATTACATGATATTAAATTAATGCAAATGAAAAAAAAAATATCTGCCAATTTGTTTAGTTAATTATGATAAAATTGTTACTTTTATAATAATGTAATCATTTTTTATTAGCTATTCTTGTTGGTTCGGTTAAGAACGTAGACTCATGTGCACATTCAAATACTTAAAGAAATGAATCCTAACGCAACAGAATCTATTGTTGGGATTGAGAATTTACGTATCAAAATTTTGCAAACTTTAAGACGTTTACACAGCCTACGGGGTTGGACAAACGGTTTTGAGACGCGTCCTCTTGCCCACGTCCTCGACCTGCACTAGCCTTGTCGAGTCCTTGACAGCCGCCCCTTGGTTGCCGGGGAATGTCGAGCGTCGTCGAGGGAGTCGATCGCTACGCGTGAATCGCCGGGTCACGTCGCTGCATGCCGAGTCGCGGGAAACGCTCCGCGTAAAGTGCCAGCCAACTGTAAATGAAGTGGACGGTAAATGTCGATCGAGGTGGACTTGTGCAACTTGTAAGCTCATTCAACCCCTTGTAGATACTTGTCAACATCGGAATTGCGAGACCGACCTTCTAACCCTTAGCCATCATGCTTTCCATCTTGAAGGTGCTCAGACGAATCATGTCGACATCGCCGTTAGGAAGGACGAATGTACAGATCCAACACGAAAGGTAGACCGCTAAGTGAATTTCTTCTTGCAGCTTCAGCTCGATCACTTCCATCTTCTTGAACAAAAATCAGGGAGAGACCCAGTGTCAATATTCTTCGAAGGTTCTAGACGGATTATGAGTTGGCTTGAGGCGAATGATCCTCTTATTCTCTCCATTCTTCTTGTCGGCACGATTGGAGGTTGTCTGTATTTGATGGTCTTTTTCGACCAGAATTGCACCCATCTCTCGACTAACACTCATCCGTCATCGGTTTCATTGTAGAGCATGTGATAAACGTGAAAGAGATGCTTACGGCAGCAAAAGAGGCATGGATTCTTAGCTTTGTTAATCCCGACTAGCTCGTTTGCATCCTGCACGACCTCATCGAAGATGAATCCACTGGAAGGAAGTCCAGCCAAGGCGTGTAAGTCCCGTAGCAATATTGAAAGCTCCCTGGAAGACGTCAACAATATGTTGGTAGAGGGACACCACGCCTCGAAGAATGCCTTGATGATCTCGGGTTTACAGTCGTAGGTGAAGAGCTAGGCGCACACAACATCATAAATCTCGGCCTTGATCAAGTGCACTAACTGAGTATGTAATCGATCCACTCCCAATAACTGTGTGTGTAGTGGAATTTGCCGGCAAATTTGATGGCTTCTCCCCATGCAGCTTGACCTTTTATGATGCGTCGTCCTAGAGTTGGCAATGGCTATGTCTCGTTTAACTGGTTGTGGTGGTGAGTTGCTTGCAATATCCATGCTTTAGATTTCTCGTAGGCATACTCTTGAGTCCACTCACTCATGTGAAGGGATAACTCTCGGCCACGTTTTCGAGAAATCACCGATGATTGGGTCTTCGACTGCGAGGCGAGTCCTTTTCTCCAGTGTTTGACGTTTGTCGTCAAGAACCACTAAATGTATCTCTCCCCATATGGAAGTGCTCGTAAAATAGACCGTTGCGATCATAGGAGTTGAAAATTTGGAAATTAAAATTAAAAAGGGAACTAATGAGCTTCGATTGAATAAAATCGATGAATACAACTAATCTGCTCAAAGAAAAATGTCCGAAACTGTGTATATAAAGCTTGATGTCGGCAAACGCGAGCCACGTAATTGTTGGTACTTGTTACTCGTGCGCTATAAAAAAATAAAGAAAAGAATGATTAACGGTGACATAAATAAATAGAAGTACCGAAAGACAATTAACTCACTCCCAAACAGCTCCATTTTAGCCCGACAGCTCCCAAACAGCTCTGTTTCAGCCCGACAGCTCCCAAACAGCTTTGTTTCAGCCCGGACAGCTCCTGAAAAGCCTCTTTTCACCCTGAACAACAACCGAGCAATGGCAGAGCAGCCCCGAGCAACTTACCTTGGCCCCAACGAGGTGTTGTAGCTCAAACGTAACAGAAAGCAATGGAGAAACAAGAAAATTATTGAAAATGTTAATACCTCGCAGACAATTGGTCGAACACTTGAAGGACAGGAGCATAGGAGGTGGGAGTTGATGAGACTCTTTTGAAAAAGTTGGACAAAAAATTTTTTGATGTACATAGTAGCTCCTAAGCATCCCAACGTAGCAGCAACCATAAATTAAAAAAAAAAAAAATGACGAACGGAAGAGAAGGACAAGACCATACCTATTCAATGTTCTGGGCTCTTCTTTTGTGACTTGTGTGGTGAACAATGTCCAAGGCTCTTCTTTTATATGGGAGAACCCCTGTAAGTTTAGGAAAATTTCATCTCCTAATGTGATGAGGAACCTGACCATTAACAAGTAAATCTTTGAGAATACTAAGGTGGGAAAGAAAATATGATAAAAATGAGTGATGGAAAGTTACAAATTATAACACATATATATTCTGTCAAAATTGCAGGTGCGTAATTGGAAGGCAACAAATACTTGGAAGTTCAAAGTTGGAAGCTTGTGTATCTAATTGGAAATTAAT